TGAGCGGCCGGTCTGTATGTGGGATCCGAACCCTTGGCGGGAGCGCCGCCACACTCCCAAGAGGCACACTGTAGCAGTGCGCCACCGGGCCGGCCCGGGAAATACAGAATTTTTAAAATACTGATATGAATGTCTGAGTAAGAGAGGAAAATTATTTGTGGGAGTGGGGGCTGCTAAAACCATTCATTCTTCCTCATATTTCTTTGTTTTCTTCTTTCAACTGCTGTACTGAGGTGGTTTTGTTTTCACTTGAGTCTGTATTGTTACTTATCCAACCTACTGATGACAGTTGTTTTGTGTCTTTGTGTTCTTTCCCAGCATCTTCTATATCCTCTATCCAGTAATACCATACACATACTTTAAAGGGAAGAGGAAAAAAACAAAACAAAACTGTGATCTCCTGAGCATTGTAACAAAATGGTCAGACCATTTTGTACCAGCAATATGTGATAGTTTCCCACAGTCTTACTAATGAATTGTCTTGGCAGGCTTTTTGATAACTGAAAAATGGCCTTTTATTTTATTTTATTTTATTTTATTCATTGGCATTAAGTACATTCACAGTGTTGTACAACTGTTACCACTATTCATTTCCAGAACTTATTCATCATCCTCAGCAGAAACTCTATTAACTATTATACATTAATTCCCAATTCCTCCCTCCCCATAGCCTTGATAACCTCTATTCTACTCTCTGTTGCTATGAATTTTTCTGTTCTAGGTACCTCATATAAGTGGAATCATACAATATTTGGTCTTCGGGATCTGGCTTATTTCACTTAGCATAATATTTTAAGGTTTGTCCAAGTCATAGCATATATCAGAATTCTTTCTTCTTTAGAGCTGAATAACATTCCACTGTATGTAACTACCACATTTTGTTTATCCATTCATCTGTTGATGGATATTTGAGTTGTTTCCTCCTTTTGGCTCTTGTGAATAATGTTGCTGTGAGCATTGGTATACAATATCTGTTTGAGTCCCTGTTTTCAGTTCTTTTGGGTATATACCCAGGAGTGGAATTGTTTTTTTCAGGTGGTAATTCTGTTTAACTTTTTGAAGATATTTCTCAAATTTTAAGAACCTTTTTTTTTTTTTTAAAGATGACTGGTAAGGGGATCTCAACCCTTGGCTTGGTGTTGTCAGCACCACGCTCAGCCAGTGAGCAAACCGGCCATCCCTATATAGGATCCGAACCCGTGGCCTTGTTGTTATCAGCACCGCACTCTGCCGAGTGAGCCACGGGCCGGCCTAAATTTTAAGAACTTCTAATAAATCAGGAAGGTTATTCTTATTGGCTATAAGTTTCATATATTTTCTTTGTCCTCTTTCTTTTGACTTTGCCTTTGTTTTTTGTTGCTCATGTGCGTGGTTTTGTTTTTAGAAGGTGGTTTCTTTTCACCTTCACATAGTAGAATTTATGGGCCTTTTGTTGTTTTGGATTTTGGGTCACTATTTCATAGTTAGAAAGCTTTTCTCATATCTAGAACATAATCCACCACGTTTCCTTCTAGCACTTGAATGGTTTCTGTTTTCTTTTAACATTAAAACTTCACTTGGAGTTTATTCTGGTATATGGTAGCATAATTGAATCCAGTTTTACCTTTTCCCAGTGACTGTCCAACTGCCCCAATATTATTTATTACAAAAATTATCCTTTTACCCTTTGAGATACCATCTGTATAGTATATTCCATGTAAACTTATAGTAACTCCATGTAAACTTCATTCTATTTCTGTCTTATCTATTATGTTCCGTTTTGGTTTGTTTCTCTAGAATCCAATATTTATTAATCTAACAGTCCATTACCAAAAGCTAACTTTATGCTAGAGGTTGGTTTCAGTGGTTAGCGAGAAAGGCATTATTTCTGCCTTTGGGGAGATTCAGGAACAAGAAAACAAACAGATCAGTAAATGAGTATGTAAATGAAGATCTAATTACAGCTGATAAAAGTGTTGTGAAGACAGCACGCAAGATGTGGGAGAGAGAATAAAGGTGTATGATTAGTGTTACCGGGCTGAGAGCTTTTTTGGAAGTGTGAGTTTTCACCTGAGTCCTGAAGGATGAGAAAAGCAGCATCCAAAGAGCCCAGGACAGGATTCCTGATAGATGGAAGGACCTGAAGAGAGGTCTAAGATGGAAAAAGGCCCTAGGTTTATTTTATTTTATTTTTTTCCTTTTTTTTTTTTTGTCTTTTTTTTTTACTGACCGGTAACGGGATCGCAACCCTCGGTGTCGCGCCCATACTGGGGACCGGCAACGGGATCGCAACCCTCGGTGTTGCACCCGCACCACGCTCAGCCAGTGAGCGGGAACCGGTCTCCACATGGGATCCGAACCCTCGGCGGGAGTGCCGCCGCACTCCCAAGCGACGCACTCTCCAGTGCGCCACCAGGCCAGCCCCCTAGGTTTATTTTAGATGCTCTAGTTTGGTACATAGGGAGGAAAGGGGAGAGTGCTCAGTGTGAAAGCGCTTTGCCCTTGGTTGACACAGAGTGGCAACAAAGACAAGCAGAGAACTGCTTTGCCAAGACCCTTGAGAGCCATGGCAGTGAGTTTGGAATTTATTCTAAGTGCACTGGGAAGGCATGAAAAGTTTAAGCAGAGATTTTTATTTTGATTGGCATCAACATCATGTGGTAGGGAGTGTTAAAAATATAGATGCCCAGAATAGGCAAATTCATAGAGACAGAGTTAGTGGTTCTCTACCATTAGGAATTACCAGGGGCTAGAGGCAATAGGGGTGGGGAGTGACTGCTTAATGGGCATGGGGTTTCTATTTGGGTGATGAAAGTATTCTCAAATTAGATAGTGGTAATGGTTGCACGACATTGGGAATGTACTATGGACTACTGAATTATGCATTTTAAAATGGTCTAAGTGGGAATTTTATGTTATATTAATTTTACCTCAATTTAAATATATGCACACATATTTAAGTACTTTAAATATAGACAGATACACACACACACCTTTGCCCTACTCCTGTAGATTTTGATTCAGTTTGGGGCAATGCTTGGACATTTGTATTGTTAACAGGCTTCCTTAATAATTCTGATCCATATCAAAATTGAGAACTCCCGGCTTAATTTGTTTTCTTGCTTCCTTCTGGCACCATATGAGCTTATATTTGTGCTTTCATGTGCTTTTTAGAAATTACACAGTATTTCAGACCTAGTTAAGCCATTCACTTTTTATGGTTATTTTCATTTTGTTGCCCTGTTCTGCTATAGAATTTTTTATTTCTCATAGAAGAGGAACAGCTTGTGTTTACTTTCTTCTTGTTTTTCAGACTTGGAATCCAGGTGTGAGAAATTTCTACAAAAAGATTTCTTTGAAATAGAGTCATTCAATTGGGAGATAATGGAAAGCCTTAAATGCTGTGATCTTGAGGGCTCCAATTTTAGAGATGACTGGGAATGCAAAGGCCAGTTTGAGAGACAAGTAAATCAGGAGTGCTGTTTTAAGCAAGTGAAAATCCCTTATGAAAATATGCCCATTTTCGAGCATCATACATCTCTCACTCTACATCAGAGCGTTGAGACTAGTGAGAAACTGATTGAATGTAATAAATGTGGGAAAGCATTTAGCCGTGGCTCACACCTTATTCAACATCAGAAAATTCATACTGGTGAAAAACCCTTTGAATGTAAGGAATGTGGGAAGGCCTTTAGTCGTGCCTCACACCTTGTTCAGCATCAGAGAATTCATACAGGTGAGAGACCTTATGACTGTAAGGAATGTGGGAAGGCCTTTGGTCGTACTTCAGAACTTATTCTACATCAAAGACTTCATACTGGTATCAAACCCTATGAATGTAAAGAATGTGGAAAGACCTTTAGGCAACATTCACAACTTATTCTGCATCAAAGAACTCATACAGGTGAGAAACCCTATGTATGTAAAGACTGTGGGAAGGCTTTTATTCGAGGCTCACAACTTACTGTTCATCGGAGAATTCATACAGGTGCCAGACCCTATCAGTGTAAAGAATGTGGGAAAGCTTTTAGACAGCATTCACAACTTACTGTGCATCAGCGAATTCATACAGGTGAGAAACCCTATGAATGTAAAGAATGTGGAAAGGGCTTTATTCACAGCTCTGAAGTTACTCGACATCAAAGAATTCATTCTGGGGAGAAACCCTATGAATGTAAGGAATGCGGGAAGGCCTTTAGACAGCATGCACAGCTCACTCGACATCAGAGAGTTCATACTGGTGACAGACCCTATGGATGTAAGGACTGTGGGAAGGCCTTTAGTCGTAGTTCATACCTTATTCAGCATCAAAGAATTCATACAGGAGACAAGCCCTACGAATGTAAGGAATGTGGAAAAGCCTTTATTCGTGTGTCACAACTGACTCATCATCAGCGAATTCATACTTGTGAGAAGCCCTATGAATGCAGGGAGTGTGGAATGGCCTTTATTCGTAGTTCACAACTTACTGAACATCAGAGAATTCATCCTGGTATCAAACCTTATGAATGTAGAGAATGTGGGCAGGCCTTTATTCTTGGCTCACAGCTCATTGAACACTACAGAATTCATACTGGTTAGGAAGCCTCAGTATTAGGGATATAGAAAAGCCTTTATGTGGAGTTCACACCTTTTTCGATATTAGATCGTATTTAATGTAATGTAATTAATATTAGAAAACCTTCATTTGTCACTTCCATTATGGAACATCAGAGAATTCATACCAGAAGAAAATTCAATAAATGTGGGAATAATTCTTGCCTCACTCACTGTTCACTATGCATCAGAGAACCTGTGCTAAAAAAAAATTAATGCGAATGTAGAAAAGCCTTTGGTTACCACTCAAAATGTGTTAAATATCTGAGAATTCCAAATAAAAAGTGACCCTATTATTTTGTGAATGTGCCTTTCACCATGGTGTATATCTTATTTAATGTCCCACTTCCACCGATTACTAACTGTATACCACTGGGCACATTATGCAGTCTCTCTCCCTCACTTTACTGATTTTTAAGTGGTGATAAATTATACCTGCCTAATACAGTTTTTGTGAGGACTAAATCTGATACTTTATATAAAGCCTTGAAAGGGCTATCTGGCACATACATGTGCTCAGTAAATATTAGCTATCGTCATTAATTTTATCATCAGTATCACTGTTAAGAGTTATGTGAGAGGAGGGCCTTATGAATGTGTCAAGTATCAAAAACTCCTTCATAACCACTTGTTATGATAATTTTGTTTTGAAAAACAGTAGTAAAGCATAATTATTAGGAAATCTTTATTCAAGAGGTTAGAAATTTGGAAGATGAGAAATTAACAGAAGAGTAACCAAAAGAAATGTGACCATTTCAAAGTCTAAAACCACATCTGAGTATAACTTAGTTTAAAGAGAAATAAAAATTAAAATTACAAACCAGAAATGAATGACAGTAAATTCTACTTATCAAAACAAGTTCAGCGTAGCTAAAGCTGTATTCCTGTTAGAAGCTAAGATTTGAATGTAGGGACTTTGTTCTCCAAATGTAGCTCTCCAATACCTTGTCATTGCCAGTCACATACTAAATACATTGAATAGTGAATGAATACTCAACTCTAAAAGTTAGGGAAAAATTACAACATAAACTCAAGTCAGCAGTAAGAATTATTATTAAAAATTTTTAATAGTGAATGAATACTCAACTCTAAAAGTTAGGGAAAAATTACAACATAAACTCAAGTCAGTAGTAAGAATTATTATTAAAAATAAAAGAAAAAAGTAATAAAATAGAAAACAAAACAGTAGACTTACTCTGAAGGTGGTTTAATTAACAATACAATAGACTACTTACAAGTGTGATCTAGAAAAAAAATATTGTGAATAAGGAAGGTGGTAAAAGATTTTTTTACTATGCATGATGTTATTCTAATATATATGAAACTCTAGAGAGAATGGATTTTTACAAAAATATCAAAATTGGTTCAAGAAGATGTGGACGCCTGAATAAATCAATGATTATAGAAAGATGTAAAAAGTCATCAAAGGTCTTTCCCTTTAAGAAAACACTTTAACCTACAAAGACTGTAAAGAACAGATAATCCCTAAGGGAAGCTTGCCAGTTCATTTTCAAGACTAAATGAAATTCTGATTAAAAACAAACAATACAAGAATACCTCCCCAAAAAACTAATTGTAAATCATTGTCATTTATGAAGACAAATGTAAATGTAATTCCTGCTTATTTATTCCAATATCTATTGAAATTAAGAAGTGAATTTTAAATGAATAACTTCACCTATTCTGGATTAATTATGTTTTCAGAATTTTGATATTGTAGCTCCAGGAGATCACAGTGATGAAGAAATCCAACCCCAGTGACATCTGGATCAGAGTTTGTGAATAAATCTTAGTAATCTCAAGAGATTATACCCACTAGCCCTTGGCATAGCCAGGCAGTGTCTGGGGCCAGGCACTAGTTGCCCTGTGATGCCAGCCATCTTATCAGTCATCCTGAGTGTTTGGTAGAAACACCTGCATTTTCTGCACGTGTCATTGCCTACAAAGGATTAGAAAGCAGTGTTCTGTAGTCATTTTTCTTTAAGTGGTTTAATGATTAATATGTGCCATTGGCAGGGCTCAAAGCTATGACATTAAAAATTGCCACTTTGAATAGTTAAAGCACATGCACAGTATAAAAATTTTATTTTATTTTACTTATTTATTTTTTTAAAAGATGACCAGTAAGGGGATCTGAACCCTTGACTTGGTGTTGTCAGCACCATGCTCTCCCAAGTGAGCCACAGGCCGGCCCTTGCACAGGATAAAAATTTTAAAGTTACGCTGTTAACACAGACGTGAGTGAATCTTCACATTATCTCTGCCCCTTTCCCACCCAGCTACCCTTTATGGAACAGTGATATCAAGTTCTTGTATATACTTCCTGATTTTTAATTTGCATAAGCATAGACATACACATAAAGATTTTTGCACAAATGGTAGCAAATTTCTGTACATGGCTATTTTCATTTATCCGTACATTTTGAAGATTATGCCATATCAGTACATGAATAGCTGTCTCATTCTTTTTTAACAACTGCTTAGTATTTCATTATATGTGTTTCATAATTTATTTAACTCTATCAGTTTAGTTTTGTTATGTTTTGCTTTTTCAATCCTATAATAAATATCTCCCTTGCACATAAGTATTTTGTATACGTGTGATGTATGTTTAAATGAATTCCTAGAAGTGGAAATGCTAGATCAAAATGTATATACTTGGGCTGGCCCGGTGGCGCACTGCTACAGTGCGCCGCTTGGGAATGCGGCGGCGCTCCCGCCAAGGGTTCGGATCCCACATACAGACCGGTTCCCACTCACTGGCTGAGCGAGGTGCGGGCGCAGCACCGAGGGTTGCGATCCCATTGCCGGTCCCGGTCCGGTATGGGCGTGACACTGAGGGTTGCGATCCGTTGCCGGACACGAAAAAAGACAAAGGAAAAAAAAATTTATATACTTTTCCTTTCTATTATGAAAAAATTTAAACATATACAAAAATACACAGTATTTTATAATGAATCCCAATGGCCCCATAACCAGCTTCAGTAATTATCAGTTCATGGCCAATCTTGGTTTGTCTGTATTCTCACCCATTTTCCTCACGTCCATGTTATTTTTATTTTTATTTTTTTTTAAAGATGACTGGTAAGGGGATCTTAACCCTTGACTTGGTGTTGTCAGCACCACGCTCACCCAGTGAGCTAACCGGCCATCCCTATATGGGATCCGAACCCATGGCCTTGGTGTTATCAGCACCACACTCTCCCGAGTGAGCCACGGGCCGGCCCCGCATGTTATTTTTTAAGTAAATACCAGATATATTATTTCATCCATAAATATTTTAGTATGTGTCTCCAAAATATATCACTTTAGAAAAGAATTTAACTCCTTAAAAAAATTGACAGTACTGCCTTAATGCCATCACATATACGATAGTGTTCAAATTTTTATTTGTTTCATAAATGCCAATTTTTAAAAAGTTATCAGGATTCAAATAACGTTCACAAATTGCAGCTCATTGTTACGTCTCTTAGGTCTCAATCAAAGCATTCTCCTACATCCTTTTTTTTTTTTCCTTGCTACTTGTTTTTTGAAGAAACTAGGTTATTTGCCCTGTAGAGTTCCTCAGAACCTGATTTTTGCTGGCTGCAGCCCCATACCATAGTTCAAATGCTCCTCTATCCCTGGTATTTCATGTAAGCTGGTAGTTGAGATTTAGAAGCTGGATCAGGTTAAGGTTCATTTTTTGGTTAAGATTACTTACAGGTGTTTAAGAGACATAATATTTAGGTGTCTTTCTATGATGTTAGCAGCCATTGATGTTCAGTTGATAAATCTGTTAATTCATTAGAGGTTGCAAAATGGTGATATCCTATTTTTTCTTCCCTTATTAAAACAATATTTTTTATGAGGAAAAACTTCCCTTCAGCTACTATTTGGTTACCCAGTGTTACAGTAAGGAAAGGCAGGATAAATGTTTCTTTCTTCTTCATTGGTCTTCACAATATTTTGTTGTTTCCCTAAGATTTAGCCATGGTAGCCAATGAATTTAGGTATAGGGGTGTGTGTGTATGTGTGTGTTGCATATTTAATGTGTTTAAATCTATTTAAGTTGCACCCTCAGTGATGCTCAAATTGTTCCATGTTTGGCGAGCCTCTTCCAGCTGGCTCCTGTGTTCTTTTGATAAGAGCCCAGTAGTCTTTGGTCCTTTGCTTGCTCTCTGCCAGAACAAGATGGTTCTCAGCTCACCTTCTTCATTTCCTTACTCCCACTTGAAGTAGCCATTTTCTCAGGAGCCCTCTTTCCTTTTGGTATTTTGGAACTTTCCGAAGTGGTATTTGGAAATCACAATTGGATTGGGAGGAGTGCTTCATGCTCCTGGTTGGCCATGTTTAAATGTATACATTTTAAGCCATTTTAGCCATAGACATTACTCAAGTGCCTTTAGGAAGATTATGCATCTATGCATCTACCTACAGTAGGAGAGATCCCAAAGCACCACACTCATCCAATCCTGGGAACACATTTGTTTTAAACACAAATGGTTTAATAAGTGAAAAATGGGAAAGTCACTTTTGTTTGCATTTGCATTCCTTTGATTATGATTAATTGAGATGACCATTCAAATATTTGTCGGCCATTGGTATTGCTTTTAGCACGGTGCTTAAAACATAGTAAGTACTCAATAAATATTTGTTAATTGAATAAATTTTATGTTCATATTCTGTTTATTTAATATTGGAGTGGTCATATTTTCCTTATTTAAAAGAGCAGTCTTTGAGAGGGTTAAATGTATAAAGTTCCTAGCACAATGCCTGACACCCAACAAATGTTAGTTCCCTTGCTTGTTATTTACATATATTGTCATTTACGTCTCTCATGGGTGGCTTTTTTTCTACTTTAAGAGATAAGGATGAGGAGATTGAGACTCCAAGAGATTAAATAGCTTGTCCAAGACCTCAAGTGGAGAATCCTGATTTAAGAGAAAGATAGTAGAGAAAGCTGTATACATGTTTTCATGTATACAGCTTTCAGGATGTGTGACTATGAAAAGGAAAAAAACCAATGTTTTTTCAGTAGATAGATGATCTATAAAACGCAGTTCATTTGTGGTCCTGACCCAGAAAGTGGCAATGCTAGGAACAAAGATATGAAAGATCTTAAAAAGAATCATTTAAAAAATTTTTTGTTTGTTTTGTCCTTATAAAAATAGTAAATTGGTATAGCCAATGTGGAAAACTGGAGGTTCATCACAAAACTAAAAATAGAATAACCATATCATCCAGCAATTCCACTTTTGGGTATATATCCTAAGTACTTGAAATCAGTACAATAGCCCCCTTATCCACAGGGCATACATTCGAAGACCTCCAGTGGATTCCTGACACTGTGGATAGTACCAAACCCTCTATAATAATGTTTTTTCCTATACATGCATACTTATGATAAATTTTAATTTATAAATTAGGTACAGTAAGATTACCAACAATAACTAATAAAATAGGACAATTATAATAATATATTATAATAAAGGTTATATGAATGTAGCCCCTCACTCAAAATGTCTTTTTGTACTGCATTCATCTATTTTTGGACAATGGTTAACAGCAGGTAACTGAAACCACAGGAAGTGAAACTGTGGATAAGGGGGGAACCACTGTATGTCAAAAAGATATTTACACTCCCATGTTCACTGTAGCATTATTCACAGCCAAGATATGGAAACAACCTGAGTGTCCATCAACAGATGAATGGATAAAAAAATGTGTATTTACACAATGGAATACTAGTCAGCCTTTAAAAAAGAAGGAAATTCTGTCATTTGCAACAACATGGATAAACCTGCAGGATATTATGCAAAATGAAATAAGCCAGCACAGAAAGGTAAATACTGCATGTTCTCGCTCATAGGTGGAATCTAAAACAATCAAACTCATAAAAGGAGAGAGTAGAGTGGTGGGTACCAGAGCCTAGGGGTTGAGGGGAATGGGGAAATACTGGTCAGAGGACACAAAGTTGCAGTTAGGAGGAATAAATGATATGTATTTAAGGTGATGGATATGTTAATCAGCTTGATTTAGGCATTCCACACTGTATACCTATATCATAATGTCACCGTGTA